GGACAAGCATAGCACAGACAGAGCATAGACCTCACTCACTCACTCACTCACTCAACCACTCAACCACTCAACCACTCAACCACTCACTCACTCAACCACTCACTCCACTCACTCACTCATCTCAACATTCATCTGGATACCCAGTTCGGTATACCAATCCACACGTCCCCACTGTCGTGTTATTCCGTCCATTTACGATACACATCAAATATTTATGGGCAGTATCGACTTACCCGAGAGCGGAACACACAATTGTTCCTTTCTAAGCCTTACACGGAAAATATTTTGACTTTGGAACCGGCAGTATTTATGGTGGAAGCCATTTCACACGCGATCTTCTAATCTCCGTAGTGCGTGCATTGTGCTCGTGAGAAAGGTGTTGCTGTGGGTCTGGTATCGGTCCCCCGGGAGTCGGGGTGGGGGCAACAGGGTGTGGTAGATATCAGCAGTGGCAGCTACTCATGGAATGTACTTCTGTTTTTGACCAAATAACCTAGGTAGGTGGAGAACCGATCTTTGTAGGACTTGATTTCGAACGTTGTGTCTTTTTCAGGCCATGGGGATGAAAAAGGTGTGTTTTTCTGTGCCTTTCTTTTCAATATTCATGCTGTGTATTGTGTTATTAAAGTATTTCAATTTGTACTGGCATCCTAACGCGTATTACCACTACAAGAGTACAATAATACATCATGGCTGTGCAAATCTGTATCGTTCACTCTCTTAATACAAATATCATTTGTTTTAACTTCTTTGAGATCTATTTAGAAGTTGGAGCAGTAAGGAAGGATAACAATGTATGGATGAACAAATTCTTTATTACAGAGAGAGCCCGTTTCGGCGGAAGTTTTAACACCGTTATCAAGCAAGTACTTCTTTATTAAGCAAGTTAGAACCTACATCGACACGTCGCCCTCACTGTAATAAAGAAGTTGTTCATCCATACAGTTTTATCCTTCCTTAAATATCATTTGGATAAATTAGGCGTTACAGTGAGTTTCGTGATCTTAAGAAGTTATCGATGTGCATCCAGGGGTCATTATATGGTGAAGGGTAGAACACTACGCCACTCACATTACGGTATAAAACCTTAAACACCCCAAGACGTCTTCCCCTGCTTATTATCGATGAACTTGAGCCATCAGAGCCCGTATCTCAGTCAACAGTTGTATAAACGCCTACCGACTTCGTGCTGTCACAGACGCTCCAAGACGTTACTTGGTAATTTGCCCTCACGACTCTAGGCTTTGAAAATGGCACCACCCCACAGTTTCTTTGAGTGGAAGTTGGGAAGTAGAATACTGAACAATTTTATGGATACCAACTTCTTAAATTATAGAGTTTGACGTTTCGGTACACATTCCTGCTTGACAACTGTCAAGAATCTGTATCGAAACGTCGCACTCACCAAATATAAGTTGTTATACATAAAGTTTGTTCAGTATCACCCCTCATAATCTGTACTAGCAGATGGATTCTATAGTATTTTTGTTTCAAAAGATGTACGATAAATTCTCGAATTGGCTTCTTCCATGTTTTTTAACTGTAATTGATTATTTTAGTCATTTTAAGTTGCAAAAGAGTTACGACTATATATATCTTTTGCTAGTGGAATTGAATGGGAGAATGAATTATATATAACCATACAACGACTGCGAATAAATCTAAAACAACATCATATAACAACACTGACTGCCCTCAGGCGTTATAGCCGACATTTTGTATTTACCAACCCCGTTATAACACTGCAAGTATTGACAATATCAAATCATTTGATATAACTCCGTGTTACGCTTACGTCAAGTTGATGCAGTGTTACATGTGTGTAGCATTAAGTTAAACTGTATGTGTGTAAGCTCGTTATACAATTTCTACACTGAGTCAATCAAATAAGTCAAACTGGTTCAAATACCAGCGGCATGTGTTGCTCCACGATAAGCAGTTGACGTGCAAGTCGATCAGCTTGTCAGCTTGAGGTTACTGATCGGGTTATATTCCCTTGTCATGTAGGTTGGTATAGGTTGAGTGCAAGCTCGGTCTCTTGTTTGGAACAGGACCTCGATAATATGACGTCAGGTGATGTGACATGGGTTTTAACGTCGTTATCAAGATTGTCATTGCACATGTATGTTGCTCGTGCTTGTCTGGTCGTCTGCCGGCTGTGTGGTGCTAAATCATTGAGCTACCATGACACAGTCAAACATGGATACTCCACTCAAACACGGTATAGTCAGTCCGAGTCAACCAGTCCGTGGTTTGGGCTTTCAGTGAGGAGGGCTAGGCAGGGTGACAAGTACCATATTTTGAAGCTCATTGTATGACGTGGATTGGTGTCCGACGTCCGACTTTCTGCTCTACAGGCAGATGTTCTCTCCTCTTGGCCATTTAGGTGGTCTCGTGGAAATGAAGTCAATATTTAAATATCACGTAAAGACACAATGTAGTGTCGTGTTACGGTGGAGAAGTGTCGTCATTGCGCTTCAATGATGTCGAGATAGCGTTGCATTTACGTCGATCTGGTGGTATTGAATAGAGTTGAGTTGGTGCTGTGGTAGTCTCGAGCTGGTGTTATGGTAGTCTCGTGTAGGTGTCGCTGCAGTCTCGTGTAGGTGTCGCGGCAGTCTCTAGTAGGTGTTATGGTAGTCTCTTGAAGGTGTTGCGGCAGTCTCTAGCTGGTGTTATGGTAGTCTCTGGAAGGTGTTATGTCAGTCTCTAGCTGGTGTTATGGTAGTCTCTAGAAGGTGTTATGTCAGTCTCTAGCTGGTGTTATGGTAGTCTCTAGAAGGTGTTATGTCAGTCTCTAGCTGGTGTTATGGTAGTCTCTAGAAGGTGTTATGTCAGTCTCTAGCTGGTGTTATGGTAGTCTCGTGAAGGTGTTATGTCAGTCTCTAGCTGGTGTTATGGTAGTCTCGTGAAGGTGTTATGTCAGTCTCTAGCTGGTGTTATGGTAGTCTCTAGAAGGTGTTATGTCAGTCTCTAGCTGGTGTTATGGTAGTATCTAGGTGTTATGTCAGTCTCTAGCTGGTGTTATGGTAGTCTCGTGTAGGTGTTATGTCAGTCTCTAGCTGGTGTTATGGTAGTCTCTGGAAGGTGTTATGTCAGTCTCTAGCTGGTGTTATGGTAGTCTCTGGAAGGTGTTATGTCAGTCTCTAGCTGATGTTATGGTAGTCTCGTGTAGGTGTTATGTCAGTCTCTAGCTGGTGTTATGGTAGTCTCTAGAAGGTGTTATGTCAGTCTCTAGCTGGTGTTATGGTAGTCTCTAGAAGGTGTTATGTCAGTCTCTAGCTGGTGTTATGGTAGTCTCGAGCAGGTGTTATATCAGTCTCTAGCTGGAGTTATGATAGTCTCGAGAAGGTGTTATGTAAGTCTCTTGCTGGTGTTATGGTAGTCTCGAGAAGGAGTTTATGTTATTATTTCGATGTACTTTACAGTACTTCACAACTCCACACCATCGCATGGACATCAACACGTTACATGTGGAGAAATCATTCATAAATTTGAATATGTATGTTTGACACAAATGCAGAAACACTGCACCAAGCACAATGACTTTCGACACGAAATGGTAGCTGTTATATTTGATCATAGCTTGCTATGGAAATAAGGTAACTGTTGCATTAGGCGGAGGTGTTGGCATATGTTCATCAATGTATTCACACCGTCAATCACACAAGTGACAGCTAGGTGCATGTAGTGCGCGTAATCAGATTCTGATTAAGCGCCGCGATCAATCACTTGGTGTTTGGAAAAGTGCGCTATAGAAGATGACTTATTATTATTATTTTATTGTAATCATCCACGGAAAAACAGCATGAATTGAAATGAATGCTAGTTTGGGGCCACCTGACATTTTTACCGTCCTCACACATGCATTGTCAAACATGTCATCAACATTCTACATAAGTAATTAGCTTAGGTGGCTTTGTCATAACCTGGCATCTGTATCAGCTCAGTACGATCACGCTAAATATTATTTTGACCATAAAAAGGTCTGACACGTACGCTTTGGCAGTAATTAAACATTATTCAGCAGTAAAAGAAACAACCCCACTTGGATAGTTGGTTTCGTTCCTTAACAACGGTCATTGGTGTCAGGCATGCCAACAGTGTGCACTGTGCAGAATAAAGACTTTGTACACGGTAAAAATCAGGTTCGTGGGTTTCATGAAAGTCATCAACGTGTAAGACCTATATTACTTCGGGAATCCCCCCCCTCCTCCTTCCCCCTCCCCAATCAAGCGGATGCGTGGGTAGCGTAGTAGTTAAAGCGTTCGTTCGAGGCGGCGGGTTTGATTCCCCCTGTGTACAATGCGTGAAGCCTATTTTTGGTGTCCCCCACCGTGATATTGCTGGAATACTGCGGCGAAAGCGGCATTTCGACTCCACTCACTCACCAACTCACTCACTCAAGCTGACACCCCGTGGTATAATTGGAATAGTTTTCAAAGAGGCGTTGAACCGTTAAAGTCACTCACTGACTTATTGCTGTAACGACTATACACAATGACAACCTGAACTTTGAGACACTGAAAAGACCAACACTTTGATTTATTGCCTCTATATGAACCCAATGCTGTGGCTGTCGATACTAGGTTTGTTCAGACTATTAAATACCCCGCTTAAGAATACAAAGGCTGACGTGGACCCAGCTTCTTTATAACCTTCACTCAATGGCTGTGACGTAATTTGGTTATATATCATATGATGGCTCACCAGCCGAGAACTGTCGCATATCAAGTCAATCTTGCACCCACACCGGTACAGGATTGTTACCAGCCCAGGGTATTTACCCGGTGTCACGTAATAAGTTATCTCCATGTCATTGATTACCCCAGACAGTGGACCGTTTTACGACAGCGTGATCGATCAGCTCAATATTGTTTTCATTTTTTTCAGACTGACTGGGACACGATATGGCGGGAGGTCCAAAGCTCAGATCATAACGATTGTTGGCGGTGATCGTGTGTTGAAGCAGGAATGGGGTGAAACATTACCGTGATATAATGTCGCAGATGGGAACAATTGCTCGGCAGGGCACATTTGACACTGCACCGGCTGATTCTATCAAGGGTAACAGCATAAAACGAGGCGATATAGAGATACCGATTGTGGAACCAGAGTCGAAGGTCAAAGCGTCGAAGAAGGAAGGTAAAAAGAATGTTAAAAATGCTGACAGTGTCTCCAACAAAAGCTCAAAGATTCGAAACCTCCTGCAGGGGGTAGTAATAATCAGTTTGCCAATGTACCGCCTACCAGTACATCAAAACCTCAAGGCTCAACCGATCCACAGCAGAGTTCGTCCAAAGCGGCTCTGAGTGCACTCAACAGTAAAATATCCAAGGGTAATGCACCTGCTCCAGTTACAAGCAGAGCAGACGACAAACCAAAGCCTGCCTTCTCGGATTCTCTGTCCAAGCGCCTGCGCGATTCACCAAGACGGGATCCCAGTCCAACGAAGCAGGTTGAAGAAGAGAAGAAGTCCAGTAAAGAGGTTCGGAAACAGTCGGATAGCTCGGTAGGTTCGAGTAACAGAAATGACAAACAAGGCGAGAAATCTGCTCAAGTGTCTCCTTCCTCGAATTCAAAGAAGGACAGATATGTTGATGTGTCTAAAAGAAAACGATCTGAGTCTGACGTGTCTGTGAACAATAGTAGACCAAGTAGGCCCCGGAACAGACCGGATCGTGGTGTGTCGAACTCAATGTCACAAGACAGAGCAAAGGAAGGTATTCGGCCTCGAAAACTTTCGCCCTCGAGGTACGAGGACGTTGATGTGTCTACGCCTAGAGACAATACGTTTCGGTACGAGGAAATGAAAGATGATCCAGTGCCTTTACATTCCCAAAAGGAGGTATCTCAACCAAAACGAAACGCTGACTCACGGAACAATACGGGAAGGGACGAAACGTCCCGAACTGTGCCAAAAGCCTATGGGCAAGCAAGACACTCTGGTGATTCAGATAGGAGGGAAACGTATGAACAAATTCGGCTCGAAAGGGATGGCTTGATTCGAGCAGAAGCTGCTTATAAGAAAAGGGTAAAGCAGCTGGAGGATGAAGCGAAGCTGTTTGTGAAAGATGTTGACAACTTGTCAGAAGAAAATAAAACTTTACGTGCCAGAATGGAGAGTTTGGATACCAACAAGACGTCCCATGTGGAGGAGGTGAGGAAGGAAAACCTACAATTATTGCAAAGATCGGAGAAGCTGGACAGAGAGAACCAAGGATTATGGATGGATAACCAGAAACTCAAAACTGAAAAGACGGAACTGGGGAACAAAGTTCACAGACTCACGTCAGATATTGAAGCATTGCAAAAAGCCCTCAATACCACCGAATCTAAGAAGAATGAGGAAATTAGGGATCTCAGCAACCAGAACAAAAAGCTGGAATCTGATTATGATAATCTGAAAACTTCAGTTTCCGATCTCGAAAAGAAAGTTGTTGAACTGCAATCTGAGAATAGAGCATTAACTGAGAGTTTAAGTGGAAAAGATCGAGAGCTTGAAGAGTTGACGAAAGCTCTCCAAAGTGATAAGGAAATTCAAAATGACTTGAAAATGAGCCAAACTGAATTAGAACGTGTGCGCAAAAATTTGAATAATATCACAAAAGAGCTGGAACAGTTCCAGAAAAAGTTCAAAGACCTTGAGGCAGAGAAGGGTAAGGTTGAGGAAACAGTTAAAGAAAAAGATGGTGAAATTTTCAACATGAAAGATACACTCAGGAAAAGAAAGTCAGCGAATGCAGACCTTCAAAATCAGATTGAAAGTTTGAAAAAAGAAATTGAAAAATTAAAAGCTGAAAATGCAGAGTTGAGATTACTGAAAAAAGATATATCTGACATGAAAGACAAAGTGAAAAGCTTGAATGATGAGCTTGAGAAGAGGACTGAAGGCAACAAGAAACTCAAGCGTGAAAAGTCTGATAACAAGACTTATATAGAAGACTTGAAACGAGAGCTTGCAAACGCAGCAGCTTCAGCTGAAAGTGAAGCTGAAACATTCCGTGAAAAACTGACTACCGAACAGCAAACGACGAAAACGATGAAAGAAGAGATGGAACGAAAATCAAACTACATATCACAACTTGAAACTGAAACATTCGAAATGAATATGAAATTCGATTCCCTCAATGAGAAAGTACGAGAACTGGAACGGGAACAGAAGGAATGGGAAAGTAAAAGAGATCATGTTGGTGAAATAGAAAGTAATAACAAGAAACTGATAGAGGAGAATAGACGTATTCGGCAGATGTTGGTAGAGAGGAACATGGAGGTGACAAACAGGAAGACCGAGAAAACAGTGCTGACGTCCCGGCTGCAGAAGATGGAAAAGAAGCAAGTGGACTCGGACCTCAAGGTGAAGCAGCTGCAGGGATGGGTGGACGACATATACAAGGAAAATGATCCCCATCGTCGTTGTGACTACTACACCTTTGGCAGAGCCTGGTCGCGCCAGACCCAATAGACCTAAACCCAAAAAGCCAGTTTCCAAAAGTCTGGAACCAATTTCTAAAGGATCCAGTGTAAGTTTGGAGGACCTTCGTCAAAGTGATCATCGAATCCCTAGCCCGCTCACACCACCGAGTCTGCCAGCCATCGACTTTAAGGTCCAGAACATTGGCTATTATGATATCTATAAACAGAAGCTAAAGCTGATGCGAGAGAGGCGGTATTAATTGTTGTGGGCAATGTGAGATGGGTGGTGGTGCTGGATGGATTATTTCAAGGGAAGAAGTTTAATGTGTTCCTGAGTGCCTTTGTGGATTCCTACCAAACAGATGCAAATATGTTGTGCATGTGACAGGATTATCAGTTGGTAAGCTGACCTAGATTGGTATTTGTTCTTTCAATAATATTTTTATACGGACAATCCCCCAAAGACAAGCTTTTTATATGTACGAAAATGTATTTTGTTTCAAATCAAGACGCGAACTTATAAATAATTGACTTACGATTAATATTTTTCTCTATTCCCCAGTGGGCCTTTCTTGGCTAAGATTCTCGAAAAGACCCAGATGAATATGAGAATATTTAGATTATATTGAAACGTCATGGGTTATTGTAATCAGCATGAAAGAACAGTAATGTTGTGGAAGTACTAGACAACATATTGTTCATTTACTGGTGTGGATATGTTCATGGTGGTCGAACGACAATGGAAGGTCATTAAGGTTACACAATGCTAACCGAAATCTTTCGATCCTATGCGGACAAAGCTAGCTCAAATACGATTGATTGTACAAAGAGGATTGCATGCACTCTGATTCCCGGGGATTGTGAAGGATTTACAAAGTGGCACATTGCAACTAGTGACAAGGCTCTGTTTAACCACTCTGCTTTCGAGTATAGTATTATCAGTTGCATCTGTTTTGCACAAGTTTATACAAAATCCGTCACCTTCGATATATTTTAAACCACACATTTCGTTCAACATGTATCGGGAAATATTAAGAATAAGTTTCATGTTTTTGTATCATTTCTTAGGATTATGAATATTAAGTCTGTATTCATATTTTGTGGAATCTTTACGATCTCAGTAACGTTGTACCTGGTGAATTTAGTCAACATAGTTCAAATGTTTTCAGTTTCATGCCTACTTACTCGGATCCAAATTTCTTGCAGCAAAATAGATTACGTTTTATTATTATTTAGCTTATGTTTTAGTATTATTTAGCTCAGTTCGAACAGTGAACACATACAAGCATGTCAAAATGTCAAAACATTTCCTGAAGTTGGTGTGAGACAAGGTCTCTTATCTGAGTACCACTATTACCTTCTCTGCAGGAGGGAGCAAGGAGTAGGGTTCAACTCACCCTGCACTTGACGCAGGGTGGAGTGGAAGGTCCCGTGTGGTCACAGAGAAGTAGAAGCGTGTTGACTTTCACGCAGGAACATAGGAACGCTCAACAGTCTGTGATATTAATCTGTGATACTTCGCATATCGTAAGAGGTGCATTAACAATCACATGTAGACCTTTTACCGTCAGTATTCCGCTCTAGGAGCGTCGGAGAGTCATTATTGGATATTATGTTTATCTTGTGGCCATGTGATGCATCAGGTGGCCTTTAGACCCATTGCCTGGTCTTGCCCCGAAGAACGTTTGTGCCCGGGTTAGAATAAAATATGTGTCATGGGGCTGGGAAAATCTTTAAAAATACATTTCCAACAATACTTTAATTTTTGGGTAACAGGGTAGCAGTGTTCTAAGGCGCATTTTTTCCCACAGACAATTTGTTGGCAGGATCCGCTGGTTGAGTTTGTATCCGAGATTCGCCCAGATTATGATCCTTAGTCTGACACACTGTAAATAACAGTGCTAGTGCAAGTTGAATTCTGGCTAAAAGGCGAAACAATGAAAACTTTCTTCACATACAGTATTTTAATATATTCACAATATATTGAATAAAAGGAACGGGACCATTTAAAGAACTGGTCATGGAAAGAAGACATATATTGTAACAACCTATGAAGACCATTGTTTAACATGACTACGAAGCGTGCTTTTCTCAGAAAATCATTGTGAACATCATATGCCTGAGGTTATGATTTGTAACCATAGTTTGAACAAACTCAATTATGAATTATGTGTCATTTCAAAAGATGTTCTCATTAAAATTTCACTAAAAAAACTCAGCTTGAATTATCTTGAATCTAATGCAAATCTAGATTGTAATCTTGTGTAAATGCAGCCAAAAATATAATTAGCTGTAACCGCCTACTATTCCAGTATTGATCTTTCGAGTACAGGCCCCATCCTCCAGTAGATCAATGAGGATGACAGTTATTTCCAGACGCCCTGTCGATGGTTCGAGCTACTTAACTTCGTCAAGGTCAAGCGTTGATTGTCACTAGCTTCTTTGCTCCGAAGAACAAATGACCATCGACCACATACATACCTGTTAAACTCTGGGAAATTAAAGTGCCTTTTAAGTATTGCTATTGTCTCTGTAACCTTAGGTATGGCCTATGTGAATGTACGTACACGGCATTGTCATGCAGTCACGGCTTGGCGGGATGAATATTTATGGCTTCGAAACCCGATCAGTATGAATTGCTTTCATGGGTGTATACTCAATGTATGAAGCATGTGGACGGACGGTGTGTAGGTCTGAGGCGCTTGTTGAGGGATATAGTAGCCATAAGAAGGTTTACTTAAGGGTTTTCAGCACTGATGATAACATAATACGATTATCTCTTTATCGACTTCTATGATTGTACTGCGATCGTTCCCATTGCTTTTATACACATTATGACATCCTTAGGTATAAATGTAATCGCTTTGACAATAATATATAATTCAATTTGAATACAGTGAATTCTCACTAATCCGGATTCGTTTAATGCGGTCACACGCCACAGCTTCTACAACTGTACTGCGATCGTTCTCATTGCTTTTATACACATTATGATATCCTAAATGTAATCGCTTTGACAAAAACATAAAGCAGAATTTGAATTCAGTGAATTCTAACTAATCCGGATTCATTTAATGCGGTCACACTCCACAGCTTCTACAACTGTACTGCGATCTTTCCCATTGCTTTTATACACATTATGATATCGTTAGGTATAAAATAATCGTTAGACATTAGATTTGAATACAGTGAATTCTCACTAATCCGGATTCATTTAATCGGCTTCTACAACTGTACTGCGATTTAACAAAATTAATTGAATCGCTTTAACAAAAATAGCAAGCAAAATTTGAATACAGTGAATAATTAATTCTTTAATGACTTGTCAATGAGGTCACACGTTTTAAGGGGTGTCTATTGTCAGAACTTTATACACTTATACACTATTCTATTGTTTAACATAGGTTAAAGAAAGGCCCGATTCTATTCTTACTTGTTTAAGCCCATTTCTGGTGTCCCCGCCGTGATATTGTTGGAATATTGCTAAAAGCGGCATTAACGAAAATAACATATTGAGTTAGTCATTAACGATTAACTTATTGAAGATTAACTATAGAAATATGGAATGCTGCGTGTTGTCTTACTTCTTTTGAGTAGTATATCACTGATACCTTCCAAAGATTCGTTCATTCACAGTTTGGTAATCCGGATAAAACACTTAAAACAGTAGTCCGGATTATCAGGGTTCATTGTTCATCATACGTGTTCAAACTGAAATATCTGTTTCTATTTTCTGAAATGATTGATGAAGTTTAAAAACAATAGTTTAGAACCATATAACTAATAAGTTATTATTATTTACAATAAATGCGCCCAAAGCACGACACCCGATGCCTTCTTTCAAATGTATATTTATATTGCCATGAATTCCTTAACCACGTGTTGTGATATCCTGTATAATACATGCTCATGCACAGCCGTTGGTGTTGACGTGCTGTACAGATTTTGTATCCACTGTATCTACGCACTGTTGTACAAATTGTATCATAGGTGTACATAGATCAGATAATTTATTGATGTGACAATACTTTCATGTCTGAAAATAAATCATTTTACAAAAAATCACGTTTTCGGTTATACAATCTGGCCTGACCTTGTGACGTGGGCCTTGTCGGTGCTTGTAACCGCCGACAACCTTGTAGAATATATTGTATTGGTAGTCTACAGTTAGAAAGCACATTATGATGTGTATGGAATATTTTTTATAAGCAGTGTCAAATCCCGTCCATTCACTGACGAAGGAATTCATATAAAATGATGGTTACAATGTACTGGTGTCATGAAGGTCTCTGTGTAAGGTATAGGGAGGTTTTACGTAGGTTGCCCTCTAGTTATCCAACCATCTCACAACATTTTAGGTTTCACGCATTGTAGCCTTGTGTGGAATCGAACCCGGACCTTCTTCGTAACGCAACACTTTAGCCACTAGTTATATATAGACTTCTATGTATGTATGTGTGCGTGCGTAGGGATGTGCGTGTGAGGTGAAAGTTTGAGTGTCTGTGGATGTGTGCGTCTATGTGTGTGCGTGCGTGCGTGTGTGTGTGTATCTCTGTTTATACGTGTATTTTTGTGTTTATGCTTCTTTCAGAAAATAAGTGGTTCTAAAGTTTGATAACATATCTAAACTATCATTTACTTAAGGAGATGCACGAATTCTTTCATATCCACAACGTACAAAAACGGCATCCCGTCAAAAGCGTTATTAATGTATAGCCGCTCAAACGTCATTAATGTATAGCCTTTGATGTGTCACCGGTGAACCAGGACACCTTTGTTCTTTTATATTATGACAATCTTATTAGATTCCTTTGTGTAGAAAACCTCCTCGGCGATTTAATCTAAGAAGCTTAGAGATTCGATTTGACCCGTAATATGTCGCCATGTCGCGGCATTTGGCAACATTCCTATCTGAAATTGGCATCACAATTTATAAACTGTTGTAAGACTCCCGCCATGTCTGCCTGAAGTTCATATTAACTGTCGGTGTATGAAAATATATATGTCTCACACAACAAACCTTACTGTGGGTAAATTCTCAAAAAGTTTCAGCAGGATGCTTGTGTGAAAATGAACCAGTGTATGTGTGTAATTAAAGATAAACTGCTTATTAGATTCTCAAATTGGAGTCAGAGGGAAACATGTCTTTTTTTAATTTTGAATAAATCTAAACCTCCTATGACTGCCAACTGATTTAATACTTCGTTGACACCGTTGCAGCTATTAACCTCTTTTCCACATGTCGACCAACACAAACTTTTATTCGATTTTCAATACACAAAACGTTGAAATATCTTTCGTGTGCGACGCGAGCGATCATTCATACTGTCAATGTCGACTCTGACACGCCATTCAGGACAATGATAGCCAATGAACCATATCATCTCATAATCTGTAATGGAGAACGTTTTCCCATTGAGCCGATACCCGATACCCAATACCCAGTCCACTCAGGTCTCTATAGAAGCATAAGCACCTATGTTATATATTTGGGCTTGATTGTAGAGATAATGTAGGCCTAAAGCATAGGCGGATCCAGAGGGGGGTGCAGGGGTGCGCACCCCCGCTTTTGTGCTGAAAGTTTGTTAAATGACCATTGAAACTCGGGTAAATATGAAGTGTGCACCCCTCCTTTTCTCAATAGTGTGCACCCCCCACACCCCTTTCTCAAAAAGCTGTATCCGCCCCTTTAAAGTAGAGGTCAACTACGTGTAAATGAATGTCAGTAGAAGATCTATAGTGGCAATGTTTGGTTGTTGAACAGAACATACATGGAGTATCAAGCTGCATATATTTGTAATACCTACACGGCTCTAGTCCCATTGGTAGTTTTTGTTTGTTTGTTGTTTAACATTGCATTCAGTGATATTCTAGCTATATGGACCAGATGATCTAGTGATTGATATCATGAGCATCAACATACGTAATCAGGATACGATGACATGTATCAACAAATCATCGAGTTTGATCAGTCGATCCCGTTAGTCGACTCATACCATTGTTAGAACAATATTTCGTACATAGAAAATTGATAAAACGGATGACAAGGTTCGAATTTTAGTTGTCATGGTTAAGGAATCATTTTAAGAAGATTAGGCTATACGCGGACAGGGAATCTGCCACAAAGCGTTGTTTCCGAGTAAAAGATGTCAACTGGAGATATGCGGTCTCACTGGTAAAACTCGCAATGCTGAAGGGACGATGGGGTAGCCTTGTTGGTAAAGTGTTCGTTCATCACTCCAAAGAACCGGGTTCGATTCCCCACATGGGTACAATGTGTGAAGCCCATTTCTGGTGTAACCTGCGGGTGATATTGCTGAAATAATGGAAAAAGCGGGTTTGTTGTAAAATCATATGTTGAACTCTTTCGTTTTGTTCCTCAACCTTCCCCATTTAATAACTATTAGAATTCCAGTGCATTATGGATACCTCAACGGCGAGAATCGTTGCCCTCGCAAGTCGGAGTCCAGTCGGATTAATTAAAACAGCGCCGGCTAGACGACTAACAATTGAAGTGATGTTTCCCTTTAGATCACTGGTTTGTCTGGTCTAGACTCGACACAGGCCGCGGTCATTTAGACGGAATGCTGTTGAGTGCAACGTAAACATCAAATTATCACAAGTTTTACACTGGTTTAAACAAACACCATGAAGCGTCATAAAATCTCCCGCCTTGCTTTTGACACACCACTGGTTTAAACTCCTGACAGTTTCAGAGGTATAAAATAAAGTCTGTCTCATAGTCCCTGAACCACATTATTCCCCTGCTGCCTAGCCCTAAATGAAGCAAGTCTAGATTTCACCAGGTTCACGTTAGTCTATTCCAGATGAGTGAGCGTAGTGATGGGCGAAAAAGTGATAGGTTAAATTGGTTAAAAACATTACACTTATACGGTATGTGCGTGCGTGGGTGCGTGCGTGCGTGTCTGCGTGGG